CAGCAGAACCAACGGCTAAAATTGCAAAACCCAGTGTTGGCATACTCGGCAGTCTCCAAAACTAACATACATTTACTGATCAATTCTGGCTCTTGCCGATAAACGGGATTACGGGGTGATAAGATACGACTGTAAGTGTTCTTGCCAGTAACATGGACAGCATGCTAAGAGTGTTATTCTTTAGGCGCTTTATGAAAAAGAAAAAGCCGAGACGGAAAAGATCGAAGCGCTGAAGCCCGAAATGATTCAGAAAAGTGCTATGAGCGAACAGGCGAAAAATGTTACTTTGCAACTAACAGCTTTGAGCAACAACATGACGATAACAAACGAAGAAGAAGCAAATGAATACGCAGCTTTGATGAGCAAAATGCCACCGGATGTTCAGGAGCAAGTCTACGACTTCATGCTTTCTGTGATGAAACCACTTCAGTGAAGAACCACTCTAGCCTTTCGGTGTCTTGTACAGGAAATGAGTAAATTATTTAGCCAAAAACAAATTTTGCGCAAATCCGACTCAAAGTTTAAAAAAACAACTTTCCACAAACCGTCCAAAAGTTCAGAAAACAAAAATGAGGCGAGAGCTTCAATTAATTTTTAATTATCTGAAATTCGTGACCGAGTGCATTCTTGAATGCAATAAATGCACTTGCTTAAAACAATTTATAAAGTGCTAGAAGCAGCAAAGCCCGCTGGCCCTTCTCTCATCTCCAGGATATCCTTCAGTGTTTTCGGAAACATGCTCATGAATTTGAATCGTGTTCCCATGCCCTCTTCACTCAGCAGTATTTCGGAAGATCTAAGTAAATTTGTTCTTTCTTCTTTCGTTTTACAACCTTCAAGCAATCTTTCCAGCCTCAAACCGATTCCCATTTGTGCGAGGAATTCCCTGAAACTGCGTATCAAATGTTAGCAATTGCTATTAAGGACGAGTTTTTTAATCGATTTTTCACTAAAGGTATTCCAGTTACTGTGCTATTTTTAAATAAAAAGTAACAAAAGTGAAACTGGTTACCGTT